AATGGGAATGGGAATGGGAATGGGAATGGGAATGGGAATGGGAATGGGAATGGGAATGGGAATGGGAATGGGAATGGGAATGGGAATGGGAATGGGAATGGGAATGGGAATGGGAATGGGAATGGGAATGGGAATGGGAATGGGAATGGGAATGGGAACAGGAATGGGAATGGGAACCAAGGTGGGAAATGGGAACAGAGCCCAAGAGCAAAGGTGGGGAGGGGGATGGGAAATGGGGAGGAGGAGGAGGAGGAAGAAAAGAAGGAGGAAACTGAGGAAGAGGAGGAGGAGAATGAGGAAGAACAGGAGGATGGAAGGCAGGAAAAGGAGGAGGAAGAGGAAGATGAGGAAGGACAAGCAAAGGAGGAGGAGGAGGAGAAAAAGGAAGGGCAGGGAAGGGAGGAGGAAGAGGAGGAGGAAAGGGAGGAGGAAGGGCAGGGAAGGGAGGAGGAAGAGGAAGGGTGGGAAAGGAAAAGGAGGAAGAAGAGCAGAAGGAAAAGGGCAGGGAAAGGAGGAAGAACGGGGGGAGGAAGAGGAGGAGGAAGAGGAAGGGTGGGAAAGGAAAAGGAGGAAGAAGAGCAGAAGGAAAAGGGCAGGGAAAGGAGGAAGAACGGGGGGAGGAAGAGGAGGAGGAAGAGGAAGGGTGGGAAAAGGCAGAGAAAGAGGAGGAAGGGCAGGGAAAGGAGGAAGAGGAGGAGGAAGGGCAGGAAAGAGAGGAGGAGGAAGAGGAGAAGAGGAAAAAGTGGGAAAAGGAGGAGGAGGAGGAGGAAGGCTGGGGAAAGGAGGAAGAGCTGGGGGAGGAAGAGCAGGAAGAGGAGGAGGAAGAGGAAGGGTGGGAAAAGGCAGAGAAAGAGGAGGAAGGGCAGGGAAAGGAGGAAGAGGAGGAGGAAGGGCAGGAAAGAGAGGAGGAGGAAGAGGAGAAGAGGAAAAAGTGGGAAAAGGAGGAGGAGGAGGAGGAAGGCTGGGGAAAGGAGGAAGAGCTGGGGGAGGAAGAGCAGGAAGAGGAGGAGGAAGAGGAAGGGTGGGAAAAGGAGAAAGAGGAGGAGGAAGAGAGGAATAAGGAGAAGTGGGAAGAGGAAGAGGAGGAAGAGGAGGAGGAAGGCTGGGAAACTAACCCCCCCCCAATAAAAATTCTTCATCCACAGAGGAAGGACGAGGAGGAAGAAGAGGAGGATGAAGAAGAAGAGGAAGATGAGGAGGAGGAGGAGGAGGAGGAAGAGGAAGAAGACGAGGAAGAGGAGGAGGAGGAAGAGGAAGGAGAGTCCTCCGAGGCCGAAGGGCGGGTGAAGGTCAAGGAGGAAGAGGAGACAGAGGAGGAAGAGGAGGAGGAAGGAAGAGAAGCCACGGCGGCGCAGGGTGGGGATTGGGGATTCTGGGGGAATTTCGGGAGGAATTCCGGGGAAGATTGGGAATTTTGGGAATTCTGGGGGGAATTTTGGGGGAATTTCGGATAATTCTGGGGGGATTTGGGGGAATTTAGGGGAAATTTGGGAGAATTTTGGGAATTCTGGGGAGATTTTGGAGAAATTTGGGAATTCTGGGGGGAATTTTTGGGGAATTTGGGATAATTCTGGGGGGAATTTTGGGAATTCTGGGGGATTTGGAGTGGGAGTTTTGGAGAAATTTGAAAATGTTGGGAAAATTTGGGAGGAATTTGGGAATTCTGGGGGATTTTGGAGGGAATTTTTGGGAGGTTTGGGAATTTGGGGGGATTGGAAATTCTGGGGGGAGTTTTGGGAGAATTGTGGGAGGATTTGGGGGAGATTCGGGGAATTTTGGGAATTCTGGAGGATTTTGGGGAGAATTTGGGGGGATTTGGGGGGATTTGGGGGAAAAATTGGGGGGATTTGGGGTTTGGGCGGAAATTTGGGGATTTTGGGGTGAAAATTTCCCGGGATTTTGGGGGGAATTTTATGGGACTTGGGTCGGGATTTGGGGATTTGATGGGAATTTCCTGGGAATTTTGGGGAATTTTTGGGAATTCTCTGGGATTTCAGTGAGGATTGGAGGATTTGGGCTGGAATTTGGTGGGATTTGGGGAAAATTCAGGAGCAGACGTTGGGATTTGGG